TTTGGCCCGGGGGTTTTGGGCTTTTTTTTAAGGGTTTTCTGTATTTATCTTTTGGGGGTAATAAAATCACATCCGTTTAATTTGTCCCGGTGTTTGGCGGTGAAAAAAAGTTTTCCCCGTACCAGTTAATAAAATGTTTTGTTATTTTTTCGTTTCCTTGAAAAATCGTTCAGCACGAACATTTTTTGGGGTTGGGTGCTTTTTGGTATTTTTTATTTCAACTTTTGGGCATTTTTCCTATTGGGTGGTTTCCAAATATCCAAACCTTGAAATAATTTGTTTTTTGGGAATCACCCCCCTTTTTAAAGGGGGGAATTATTTTTTTTGCCCTCCCCTTTTTTTTTAAAAATTTTTTTTTCCCGTTTGGGGCCCCCGTCCTTTTTAAACCCTTGTGAATACGCGGGCCCTTTAAATAACCTCTACCGGCCCTTTCAAAATTTCGTTTTTTTTAATTTGTTCCGGGCCCCCTTTTTTGTTTTAAGGGCACCCCGCATTTTTTTTATTTTTTGGGGCCCCTAAGGGGGCCCCTTTTTAAAATGGAAGGGGCACCAAAAGTGTCCACTTTTGAAGGTTTCCAATGAAAACCCCGCCCAATTTTTTAAATTTAACAAAAATTTGCGAATTGTTTTAAAAACCAAATTTCTAAAATTTTTCCCCCGGGGTTCTTTGGTTAAAAATTTTTTGAATTTCCCCCTTCTTAAGCCGGTGCTAGGGGCGTGGGGGGTTAACCCCTTGGGGCCCCTTTCCAAAGTAACCCGGTTCCCATAAACCCAGCCCCTCAATCAAAATTTTTGATAAAACAAACGACAAGAAAGGCGGTTTTTCAATGAACGCAGCCCCCACCCGACCCAGCAACAAGCGCCATCGGCAAGGAGCCCAGGAGGACCCCAAAGAAAAACAGGACAGGGCACAAAAACAGAGTAAGGGTAGGCAAACCACTACATCAGAATACAAAATTAGTAACTTATAAGGAACTAAAACAAAACAAATAAATGATTTAATATAAGGCCCATAATGTCAAAAGGCACGGGGGAAGGGGACATGAGACACGGGGAATGGGGGGGAATAAAAAAATAAAAACTAGGGACAAAGGGAAGATACTTACCGTAGACGAGAAAACAACAAGAGACACGAGCAAAAGTTTCACCAAAACAGTATAAAACAACATAGACATACATCTGAGGAACACAGAGGGGCGCCGCCTTGGAACGGTCAGCAGCATAATAATGACTACTGGGGAGTTTAAACCGGTAAATAGTGCACCAAACCTCGCTCTTAGCCCCACCATGTTCCTATAAACGAGACAGTGTAAATAAAATGAATCCCCGCCAAGTGAAATTCTAACAGTTGTTATGGTAACAAAAGGTTAAATAAGTAAAACACCAAAATGATCATGTAGAAACATAGAAAAGTAAACCCAATGACCATAACAAAAGTACTCGATGTCCTAAAGGAAGACAGAGCAACAAGAAAATCACCTACAAGGGCCCGACGAAGCAAGACAGAAGACAAACATTAAGGCAATTCAGTCCCAAAGGGCTTTAAGAACTGTCCATCATATAGTCTCCCACTTGGCCCGTCAGATGTAGTCAAAAGAGGAAAGCGTAGTGTCCAACTGTAAATGGGTTGAACACAAAGCATGCGGTATGTCTTAAAATAGTAGGGTCATAAACCCCTTTTAATAAAACGTTTTATAATTTTAGTAAACACAACAGAAAAATTACAATGACCCAAGATCTTACGAAGTTTGTAAACAACATCACCGTAAAAATCAGGCTGGCTAATCCCTTGTCGCAGAAGTGTTTTTTAGATCACTATTGAATTTTGAAATTAAATCAAAGTTACGATAGTAAAATTTTGTAAAATATTTACGTAATTTATAATAGCGGTAGCCCTGTTTTAGAAGCTTACCGGTAATGAAAATATTTCGCTCGTTAAAATCCTTTACGTTGCTACAAGCTCTAGCAAATCTAATTAACTGAGATATATAAACCCCGTAAGATGTTGCGTGCGGTACGTCTCCATCCAAATGAGGATAATTTACTATACTAAAATCAAAGTCATCTCTTTTATCATAAATTTTTCGTGTGAATCGAATTGTTTTTGATAGTGATATGAAGATCCAAAAATGATGTAGTTAAATTTCAAAAATTCGTTTTATTAAGTTGTAGCTCCGTAGGATAAATATTAGACACCATTTGATCAAAAAAAGAATTATCTAAATTAAAAATGTCATCAAGATATCTGGAAGTGTTATTAAATGCTGAAATAACATCTTGTTGTGTATTTTCAGAGAGACTTAACATAAACCGAGCCTGCAACATTTTCAGTTTTGCCGTGTTGGGCTTTCTTTAGGGATTCTGTATTTATCTATTTTAAGAACTATCCATCATAAAGTCTCCCACTTGGTCCGTCAGATGTAATCAAAAAGAGGAAAGCGTAGTGTCCAACTGTTACACTTACAAACTTGCTTGCATTATTTCAGTCGGCCATATTCCCTAGCCATGAAAGATAACTCCCTGTTTCCCTTTTTAAAATTCCACCAAATTATTCCCCTTTCAAATGAACTTAAAGAAGGGACCTTTTAAAAAGACTTTGTATTTATTTATTCGATTTTTTGTTCAGAAACGGACAATTTTTTCTCTACCTTTGTTTAATTTGCTTTCTATCTATATATGGTTCCTATGGTAAACATATGAGTTTTGATGGTAAACAAATGAATTTTCTGAACCGAAAGTAATCTAACACGCAGCGTTGCTGTCATCACATGTAAACAATACATTAAATCGGTAAGAATATTGAGATATTTGTTTGAATATCAGTTATTAATATGGAAAACAACTATGTGTAGTTTTTGTCTATTGTTTTAATGTGTTTGTCCATTTAAGTTGTAAAAGCCATGTACACTTAGTGTCGCTTCATGGCAACCGAGTTTAAAACGTGAGCGGTAACTGAACGACATCAATCTCCTACGCAGTGATCTCCCCTTATCAGTACAGAGATCTCTGCCATCACAAACATTGAAATATCAATATTTGGATATTTATATTTTTTACCTTTTTAATTTATTTTTCATTATTTTGTATACTTTTGATATTTTTTTGATAAAATATAACGGACGTAGGTACAAAAAGTTAAAAATAAAATCGAAAGAGAAAAATGACGTTATATTTTCTATGTAACGGTCGATATTTCGACGTTACGTCATGTGACTTTCATCATCATGTGACGTCTGTGAGACAGTGATTACAATTCTGCCAAGGGAGGTTATCATTACAATTCTGCCAAGGGAGGTTATCAGTGTGAGGAGTTTGGAACGAGATATGGCAAAGCGTATGCTCGCGCACTGACTTCCGCTCTATCGAAATACTGCATATACGTATAGCGAAAGTTCGTAAGTGTGTTAAAGGGTTGAACACTAAACATGCAGTATGTCTTAAAATAGTAGGGTCATAACCTCTTTCAATAAAACGTTCAATGATTTTAGTAAAAACAGCAGAAAAATTACCATGACCCAAAATCTTACGAAGTTTGTAAATCACATCGCCATAAAAACCAGGCTGACTAATCCCTTGTCGCAGAAGAGTTTTTAAATCACTATTGAATTTAGATATTAAATCAAAGTTACGATTGTAAAATTTAGTAAAAGCCATATATATTCACCATTTTCGTGTTAAATGTTGAATTCTGCTTAAACCGGTGCTAGGGGGCGTGGACGGTAACTTGCACTTTCCAGTACCGTCCATGAACAGGCTGAATCAAACCGAGCCTGCTACATTTTCAATTTTGTTGTGTTGGGCTTTCTTTAGGGATTCTGTATTTATCTATTCTAAAACGGCGAATATATATATGCCGCCTTTCCTTGTCGATCTTGTTTATCATATTTTAGTAAAATATTTCCGTAATTTATGATAGCGGTAGCCCTGTTTTAGAATAGATATGCAGGTGACCGCCGTATGAACACATCTGCGGATGTTTCTTATTTCAAACTTTCACCATGTTCGTGTTAAATGTTGAATTCTGCTTAAGGCCGGTGGCTAGGGGGCGTGGACGGTAACTTGCACTTTCCAGTACCGTCCATGAAGTGGCTCAATCAAACCGAGCCTGCAACATTTTTCAATTTTGTGTTGTGTTTGGACCTTCTTTTTAGGGATTCTGTTTTTCTCTATTTTAGTTTCTTCTATTTGGCCATTTTTCAACTTGGGTTGGTTCCAGTATTCCTTTACTTGAATACTGTATAAATCACCCTTAGGATATTATCGGTAGCCTGCATATCACAGATAAGACGTCAAAAGACAAATTTAAAAAGCAGGCAACATATCCTAAGGGTGATTATACAGTATTCAAGTAGGAATACTGGAACCACCCAAGATGAAAATGTCCAAATTGATGAAACTAAAAGAACCACACAACACGTAAACACAACAACACTGTCGTGCTGAACGATCTTCAAGGATCGAAAATATAACATCATTGATTAAATGTACGGGGAGACTTTTTACACACGCCAGAAATAACATGGATGTGACAATAAAATAGAGAAAAACAGAATCCCTAAAGAAGGTCCAACACAACACAATTGAAAATGTTGCAGGCTCGGTTTGATTCCAGTTCATGGACGGTACTGGAAAGTGCAAGTTACCGTCCATGCCCCCTAGCACCGGCTTAAGCAGAATTTAACACGAACATGGTGAAAGTTTGAATTAAGAAACATCCGCAGATGTGTTCATACGGTGGTCATCATGGAACCTTCAATGTGACACAGTAGTGCCATTCCATGAAAAGCGGCGTATGTTCCCCAAGTAAAAGAATGCTTTTGCCCTTAACGAGAAAACAATGGGCGGAACTAAATAAAATGGAATTTTGAAAGGGGATCTGAGGTTATGAAATATGATAAGCAAGATCAACAAGGAAAGGCGGCGTTCAATGAACGCAACCCCCATATATGACCCAACATCACAGATAAGAGGTCAACAGTACCACATAACATGTATTAGTGATGTCGGACATTTTTCAAAATTTTAGATGATCATAGAGTGTTATATATCAAATTAAAGCTCTTGAAAAATGCAGCAATATAGTGTTATTTTCATCAAGATATCTGTATTAGTAATGGAGAAAATGGATTTTGAAAATCTGAAAAATTGCGAACTTTTCTGCCAATGCATGTACATAGTCTAATAATCCCAGCTTTGTGTTAAAAGTTTGTTATAACACCTTAATTTGGAGCTGTTTAACTATGGAATTATTCTGACAAAGTTTTAACTACAATCTTGTCAGAAATTCAGAAAAAAAAATTTAATACACAGTAATCTTTATTTATCGACAAAAAACCTGAGGTCAAATTTATCAACATTGTTCACTGTTTTGGTATGATCGCTGTTTGAAAATACTGTCAGTTTGTTCAGTTGGTTCATCTTGCAAACCTTAAATTCCTATATGAGTATCTGCAGATCAGCTGAGTCAATATCAGAATCTAGATGGTGGTAAGTATATATGGCTGCATCTCCATCATATATAATGTTGAACCAAGCTGGGAATGACGGGACCTGAAATCATATATTACAAACGATTAAATAAACAAGTAATTTTGTTGTGATTAATGCTTCCGAGGGATCACTTTGTTTCCAGAATTTTGTACTTCACAACAGCAGGTGTCAAGTGCTGTGTGGCAGCTGTAAAAAGTTGCCCCGTACTTCACTTCAGTGTTGTTATATTTTCTGGTCCTTCGGGATCATTTTGATGCCAACACTATTAAAGTGTTGAGAATTGAGTACCGCTCAAGCCGGTGCTAGGGGGCGTGAGGGATGTTGCACTTATTCATTATCTCTCATGTACAGACTCAATCAAACCGAGTCTGCAATTCTTATGTTATTTTGTTGTGATTAATGCTTCCGAGGGATCACTTTGTTTCCAGAATTTTGTACTTCACAACATCAGGTGTCAAGTGCCGTGTGGCGGCCGTAAAAAGTCGCCCCGTACTACACTTCAGTGTTGTTATATTTTTCTGGTCCTTCGGGATCATTGATTGCCAACACTATAAAGTGTTGAGAGAATTGAGTACCGCTCAAGCCGGTGCTAGGGGGCGTGAGGGATGTTGCACTGATTCATTATCTCTCATGTACCGACTCAATCAAACCGAGTCTGCAATTCTTATGTTATTTTGTTGTGATTAATGCTTCCGAGGGATCACTTTGTTTCCAGAATTTTTAACATTGACAAATATATAATCAACAATTTTACAGAAATTTCCAATGACTGTACGAATGGGTCTGTAAGAAAATGAAGGAAAAGCAGTGATGTTACAAGAAAGATCTACCACTACACCAAGAATGTGAAGGATTATATAACAGACACATACAGAAACAGCAAAGTACTATTATATATTATGCATGAATGTGATAAGATTTGTAATTCTCTGCAATTCTTATGTAATTTTGTTGGGATTAATGCTTCCGAGGGATCACTTTGTTTCCAGAATTTTGTAAATTTCAACCTGCAAAAACTTAAAAGAAATGAACAATTTTTAATAGTTTTTATCGACACATATTTATTAAGGCCACGTGAATGTTGCCAGCGATATTTAACCTAAAAAAAAATCACTGGTTTCAGCTATAGAATTGTTTTGGTCGGACGTGGGACGGAAACAAGCAATATTTTATGCCTTGTGAAATTCTATGCAATGCATAATACATATGTAGGGAAGCATATTAGAAATCTAATTTGTTTACATTGATGCATTCTGCTAGCATTAGTTATAACAAGATATATAAATATATTCATTTTTACCGTATCTGATGAAACTGTTGACGTTTGAGAATCAGATGATACCACGTCTTCAGGTGGAACTGTTGATGCCTGAGATGACGTCACATCTACATGAGCAATGCGTCTGCGCTTGGGAAATATAGGACTCGGCTGGAATACAAATATTTCTCTCTTTCACCTTCTAACCTTTCGACGATTTTAGACGCTCTACCAGTGGACCATCGGGCGGCTAACTTATTTTATTTGTTATACCAACCAACTTTCCGCTTGGTACAACCATAGTCCAACTAATTAGACTTGTCAAAGAGACACCGAGATAATTTTGGACGGGCGCTGTCTTTTTCCAAGTCCAACCACGAACTGCATTTTTATGCACGGACGCTTCCCAATTAGAAGTTGTTGGGAGCGAAAACTAGAAAAGTTTCAAAGAAACGGTCTACATTACCTGAAAGAGAATCGTTTTTTATGCAAGGTTCCAAATTATCATACTTCAAAGTCGAACAGAAGTCTAAATATTCCACTTTAAATGTTTAATCGTTGAAAATTATTGAAAGCGGCCATATTGGAAAGCGGTGTCATGGTAAAATTGTAAATTCCATGGTGTAACACAGGTATCGGCGGCAATCGATTGTATTTGCCAAGCTTTATCATACAATTTGTTTATGTTATTTATATGAATTATTGCAGGAATAACTCTTTTATTCACACACAAATATTTCAGCATTAAAAAGAGAATGTGAAAAGGAAATTCTGATAACCTTACTTAGAAATTAAATATTTTATGATGTTTGATGTCAGATCATACTGCATTTAAGTCCGTTTAAATTGTCAAATTAGATATTATTAAGTTGGATTTTTTAACATCTGTGATCATTAGGTGAAATTTCTGAACTACCTTTTTATTTTATAGCCCTGCCATGATTTCCCACATACGAAAATACAATGTAATTGTAGGTACATCTTAATGAATTATAATTATACTATACATCAGGGTCTTTCAAATATAAATTCTATTTGAAAGACCCTTTATACTTGATGAAGCAAAGAAGAATTTCAATTTATATTACACTCCATATCAATTTCTAGTTGTTTTATCTTTAAAAGAAATTGAGGACGGTTGTGTAGGGGAAGAAGTTCAAAACAACCAAAAATAACCTTAAAATTTTGAAGAAAAAAATCTTAAAAGTCAAACTATAAAATGGAATTTCAAGACAGTCCTCAGTAAAATACAATTGTCGCACAGATTTATGACGGGATTTATGATAAAAAAACGCAGCAAGCGGAAAATTAGTGACCGTTATTTAGACGTTGAATAGCATAAACAATGTAAGACAGATGGGAGAAAATGTTAGAACGACTGTCGCAAAAGGACACCAAAAACCTCTGATAAATTTAAAATTTTCCCTGTTATCTAGTTCCCGCTTTTCATTGAAACGGCACCTCGAATGTGTCACATTGAAAGTTCCATGATTACCGCCGTATTATGTACACATCTGTGGATGTTGCATTAAAAAATTTCAACATTATAATGTTTTAAGTGATCAAATTCTGTTTTAAACCGGCGAAAGGGGGAGCACTTGCACCTACCAGAGCCGTCTTTGGCAACTCATGTGTATTTATGTTTCGATTTTGCAGTTTCAGGCGTTTTTGGGTGGGTTTTTTTTGGGAGGGTGGATACATGTATGTGGATAAGTTTTTTCTGTTAATTTACATTTCTTTGCTTGCTTGCCGAACCTTGTATTGATAATCATTATCTGTTTGTTACGGTTCGGTATACATGTATACAATATGATAAACAAGATGAACAAGGAAAGGCGACGTATAATGAACGCAACCCCCACACGACCCAGGAACAAGAACCATTGGCAAGGAACCCAGGAGGATCCTAAATTAAAACGGGACAGGGCGCAAGGGAGAGCACGGTCAGGCTTATCACTAAAATGTAACTGAGAAAATGAATAATTAATAGGACCACTAAGTTAACGGGCACAGGGGAAGGGGATAGGAAATTCGGGGAAGGGGGAGGGGGCGAAATAAAGAAATAAAACTAGGGGCAAAGGGAAGATACTTACCAAAGACGAGAAAACAACAACACGGTGCATATCCATATCGGTACCCTCTTTGCGAAATCTGCTGAAACGGCACCCTCTTGCACATGCACAGGCCACTCTCTGCTAAAAACAAACCAGCAATGGATAACAATCCAGTAAAATTTCAATATGATAAGGAAAGAAGGTATGACACGTAAAAAAGATGTATACCACGGAACACTATAGACTGTTTTATCTATGTGCTGATTTGTCATGTGCCCGTTTTTCATGTACTACAACTTCACAATAAGCTACAAACAGGAGGGCCATGATGGCCCTGAGGTCGCTCACCTGTATATAGCCCCCCCCCCCCCGGCCCAATTTTTACCCAAGGGCTTTTATTTGTTTATTTGAACAGACTTGGTAGACACCCATAAGAAGATGTTTCATGCAAAACATCTAAGTTCTAGCTCATTGGGTTTTTTAAAAGAAGATTTTTTTCAAGTTTTTACTATACACATAGAGTAAAAAACAATGACACCCCTCGGGCAGGGCCAGTTTTTGACCCCTGGGCTTTTATTTGAACAAACTTTGTAGATATTTACTTAAAGATGTTTCATGCTTAATATCTAAACTCTAGTTATTTGGGTTTTTAAAGAAGATTTTTAAGTTTTTGCTATGTATATAAGGAAAATCAATGACCCTCAGGGCGGGGCCAGTTTTGACCCCAGGGCTTTTATTTGAACATACTTGGTAGACACCCATTAGAACATGTCTCATGCTAAATATCTTAGCTCTAGCTCTTTGGGTTCTTTAAAAGAAGATTTTATAAGTTTTTACTATATGCATATAAGGAAAATCAATGACCCCTGGGGAGGGGCCAATTTGGACCCCAGGGGTTTTATTTGAACAAACTTGGTAGACATTCACTAGAAGATGTTTCATGCCAAATATATAAGCTTTAGCTCTTACAGTTCTTTAAAAGAAGATTTTTTAAGTTTTACTATATGCATATAGGGAAAATCAATGACCCCCTGGGCGGGGCCAATTTTGACCCCAGGGCTTTTATTTGAACAAACTTGGTAGACATTTACTAGAAGATGTTTTTATGCCAAATATCTAAGCTCTAGCTCTTACGGTTCTTTAAAAAGAAGATTTTTTAAGTTTAAACTATATGCATATAGGGAAAATCAATTACCCCCAGGGCGGGGCCAATTTTGACCCCAGGGCTTTTATTTTGAACAAACTTGGTAGACATTCACTAGAAGATGTTTCATGCCAAATATCTAAGCTCTAGCTCTTTGGGTTGTTTAAAAGAAGATTTTTTAAGTTTTTACTTTATGCATATAGGGAAAATCAATGACCCCCTGGGCGGGGGCCAATTTTGACCCCAGGGCTTTTATTTGAACAAACTTGGTAGACATTCACTAGAAGATGTTTCATGCCAAATATCTAAGCTCTAGCTCTTACAGTTCTTTAAAGGAAGATTTTTTAAGTGTTTACTATATGCATATAGGGAAATCAATGACCCCCCGGGGCGGGGCCAATTTTGACCCCAGGGCTTTTATTTGAACAAACTTGGTAGACACTCACTAGAAGATGTTCCATGCCAAAAATCTTAGCTCTAGCTCTTACAGTTCTTTAAAAGAAGATCTTTTAAGTTTTACTATATGCATATAGGGAAAATCAATGACCCCCCGGGGGCGGGGCCAATTTTGACCCCAGGGCTTTTATTTGAACAAACTTGGTAGACACTCATTAGAAGATGTTTCATGCCAAAAATATCTAAGCTCTAGCTCTTAGGGTTGTTTAAAAGAAGATATTTAAGATTTTTCTTTCGGATTGCCATGGCAACCAGAGTTCTGCATGGAATTAAATTCTTTGAACAATTTTTAAAGGTGACCACCAAAGGAACATTCCTGTGAAGTTTGGATGAAATTGGCTCAGTGGTTTATGAGGAGATGTCATTTAAAGCAAAAGTTTACGGACGGACGGACGGACGCCGGACGAAAAGCGATCACAAAAGCTCACCCTGTCACTTTGTGACAGGTGAGCTAAAAATCGACATGTCTTGCTTCGCCCATCACCTCGACATACTTTTCGGGCTGAAATGAACCTGCGGCTTAATTATATATGCATCATACATATTTAGTATGTTCATTTACATATCATCTTCGGACAAATGGCTCAATATTGTCAAAAATAATTGTAAAATTCATAAAAACACCCTACTTTCGGTTTTGCAGCGGCACGGGCTACCTCTCTTCATTTGAATTTTTATATCACAGGTACCCTCTCATTTTTTTACACATAGGTACCCTCAAGGCACGACATATGCTTTTATTTGCGTTAATCGTAAGGTATGTAATATTTCTTACTTTTATGTAAATATTACATACTTAACGATTAACGCAAATAAAAGCATGTGTTGTGCCTTGAGGATACCTGTGTTAAAAAATGAGAGGATACCTGTGATATAAAAATTCATATGAAGAGAGGTAGCCCGTGCCGCTGAAAAACCGAAAGTAGGATGTTCTTATAAATTTTACAATTATTTTTGACAATATACTGCCATTTGTCCGAAGATGATATGTAAATGAACATATGAAATATGTATGATGCATATATAATCAAGCCACAGGTTCATTTCTGCCCGAAAAGTATGTCGAAGTGATGGGCGAAGTAAGACATGTTGATTTTTTGTAGCTTATTGTGTAGTTGCAGTGCATGAAAAATTGGCACATGACAAATCAGCACATAGATAAAACATTCTAGTGTTCCGTGGTATACATCTTTTCCACGTGTCATACCTCCTTTCCATATTACAATGAATTTTACTGGCTTGTTATCTATCGCTGGTTTGTTTTGAGCAGAGAATGACCTGTGCATGTACAAAGAGGGTACCGTTTCAGCAGATTTCGCAAAGAGGGTACCGATATGGATATGCACCGTGAACAAGGGACACAAACAAAAGTGTCACCAAAACAGTATGAAACAGGACCACTAAGTTAACGGGCACAGGGGAAGGGGATAGGAAATTCGGGGGAAGGGGCGAAATAAAGAAATAAAACTAGGGGCAAAGGGAAGATACTTACCATAGACGAGAAAACAACAAGGGACACAAACAACAGTGTCACCAAAACAGTATGAAACAACAAGACATACACCTTATACATTTATAAGTCTCTTAATCTGTTCATTTGAAAATTCTGATCTTCTCAATGACCCTTTTTTAATATCCTCTACTTAAAATTTATTTCAATTAAAACATGTGACCCTTCCTTTATAGTTACACAGCATATGGCTGGATCACAATAAAGTTCCTTTTTAGTAAATTAATAAAGTATGTCAAGAAGACATTTAACTTTATCAATAGGTTTAATATGGTATTAAATATCGGCAATCGGTGAAAAAGAGCTCTTGAAATATTATTTGTACAAATACTGAATAATTTGAAGTGTATTTAAAATAGTTTCCTTCAATATTTCTTTTACGTTCTTAATTGTCATATAAATATGCATGTATAAATGAAGTCAGTATTTTATCCGAGAGTGACATTTGGCAGTCATTAGCAGTAAACAAGAAGGCAAACCACCAATTGATAAATGTTGAGTACATGTATTAAAATATTTAAAAAATATTAAACAACAGTACTTGTACGGAGCCTATTTGCGACCATTGCATTTTAGGTTAAATACAATGATACTTTTCAATAGTATTTAATAATGCACACATTTATTAAAAAATAATGAATAGATTTATTTCCCCCGATATTTTGTTTAATTTAATCTTCATGCGTAACCCACACTTACCTGCTAGACACACTGGTGGCTACTACCAGCTTTCACGGAATCGATTTTTTACGATGACGTCATAACATGTCCGCCGAAGATAGAATAGACAGTACAAATTTGAAATAAATCGCATGTATGCGTTAAGACAGGTACAATCTAATATTTTTCCTAGGAGAAGTTAGTACTAAAATTTATATTCTATTGATCTTTAGAGATAATTGAAGTTACTTTCAGGTTTGAGCAGTAAAAATCAGTCCAAACTATCGATAGTGTTACCGGTAGATTTTCCGTGCGTAAAAATGACAGTTAAAATTAGGCGTAACGGTTTGACAGTAAGAAAAAAAAGTCTGTAAAATGGGTCAAACCGTTCACGCCAAATTAATTAGGCTAGGTACAACCAGTACTTTTGCTTGATAATGAAGCAAACACTGTACCACAGCCGTGGAATAAAAGTTAACATCACTTGTAACTGATAATGTTAGGTAATAAGTTAATCACTTATTGAGTACCTACTTTCAACCATCTTATACAACTTAATTTATAATTACCGGATCAGTAAATGTTCTGTTCGGCGAGCTGTCAGTGTCAAACAGAGAGTGTTGGCTGTCAAACGACTCTTCAAGCTGTTGGCTGTCAAACAAGTCCTGTTCAGGTTGCTGGCTGTCAAACAAATCCTGCTCACTATCAAACAAATCTTGTTGGGTGTTCAACTGATCTTGGCTCGGAATGTCACTCATTGCATGCCGTATGACTTAACTGCAACAACATTCAATAAAAGTCTAAGACTTAGTCTTAAGACGCCTAAAAAAGATGGACATCTACAGTAATCATAGATCTACATGAACTATCAAATACTAAAAATAAGAAAACAACACACATACAGTGATATCTATTGCCAAATAGAGATACCAATAACGATTCCTGGCATTTTTATAACATCGCGAAAATACATTACGGGACAATCAATGGATGGCTTCCGGTTTGACATGACCCACTTTCAAAAGCTTGCCCGGGCGTGCCCTTCGTTTTAAGGGCAGTTTAAAACCATTTACATGTAGTTTAGGGACTGTTTAGACTGCTCTGACTTTCGCAAGCTTTCGTAAATATATTATGCTATATTGTGGACATTGTAATTTTTTACTAATTTTCAAAAGACGAAATCGCTCTCCTTTCCTGGAAAAACAAACTTTTGGCTCTCTTTCGCAGCTTGCGTAATATTTATGCTATATTGTGGAGATGTAATTTTTACAATTTTCAAAGACGAATCGCCTCCTTTCCTTGTGAACAAACTTTTACTCACTCAGATGTTTCTTCGGAGTTTTCTCCTTTGCACACGGTACTAAAGTTCCACGATTGGCCAAATTAGTGTCACGTTATACCCATTTAAAGAAAGCACCTATCACATGATTTTCAAGATGGTCGCGCCCATGATAAAACCCGGAAATGCCTGTGTTTGTTTATCGATATTTAATCGATGCGGTAAGTATACATAAAAAATCACTACTTACGTAATAAAACAAACATCCTTCTATCTATCCATTCTGTTTAGATGATTGAAATACATTATTTAGAATAAATATACTTGTTTTACTAGCGCTTGTATTTGCATTGAGTCAGAAGGGGATTTAAAAATTGCGGACATGTCCGACGTCACTACATGTATACACAACCGCCGTATGAACACATCTGTGGGTGATTCTAAATTCAAAAGTTTCGTGTTAAATGTTGAATTCTGCTTAAGCCGGTGCTAGGGTGCGTGGACGGTAACTTGCACTTTACAGTACCGTCCATGAACAGGCTCAATCAAACCGAGCCTGCATCATTTTCAATTTTGCCGTGTTGGGCTTTCTTTAGGCATTCTTATTTCTCTCTATTTGATTGAGTCTGTACATGAGGGATAATGAATACGTGCAACATCCCTCACGTCCCCAAGCACCGGCTTGAGCGGTACAAGCCCGAAACCTACCTTATTTTACCTTTTGATGTCAAATATATACATTCGTTTTACATTGCAAACTCAGTTTTTGTTAACATCTGAAACCACGTGGTATAACTACTTGCGATCCGTATTGTTTCCGAGGTTATTGTAGATAATAGCCGCGGCAGTTACGAATGTGCTGTCGAACGACGTTTGCGTGACGTCACATGTACTCCAAAATGGAATAAATTTACGTTTCTGAGATCAGAGATCATTGAAAAAAAGAAATAGCGTTTTTAAAAAGGGTACGGCTAGAGGACGTTAGGGATTGTAAGATTGTGTCGCGCTATCGGCTAGACAGATCGTCGATTGCATACTGGATGAATCGTTAGTTTAATTTTTGACCTTATCTTTATTCTTGTCCAGTACCGTCCATGAACAGGCTCAATCAAACCGAGCCTTCAACATTTTCAATTTTGCCGTGTTGGGCTTTCTTTAGGGATTCTGTATTTATCTATATTATAAGCGTTCCTTTATATTTTACTCTCAAAACACAGAATTGTGAATACTTTATATTTCTAGTAATTGTTTGGTTCCAATATTCCTACTTGAATACTGTATTATCACCATTAGGAAATGTTGCCTGCTTTTTAAATTTGTCTTTTGACGACTTATCTGTGATATGCAGGCTTCATAACCTCAGGTCCTCTTTCAAAATTCCATTTTATTTAGTTAGAAACATCTGCGGATGTTTCTAAATTCAAAATTTCACCATTTCTGTGTTTAAATGTTGAATTCTGCTTGCTAGGGGGCGTGGACGCTAGCTTGCACTTGCCAGTACCGTCCATGAACAGGCTCTATCAAACCGAGCCTGCAACATTTTACATTTTGCCGTGTTGTGCTTTCTTTAGGGCTTTTGTTTTTCTCTATTTGTTTACAGTATTTGTATGTAAATGTTTCACTTTCAAAACTTAATTTTTTTCTTCAGTTTAAAACATAATCCTGTTCTATTTATTAAGAAATTATCGGCATTGTTATGGCAAATTCGGTGTTTTCCAAATTGTTAAATTAAACTTAAATGGTGAAATGCCGATATTATCACATTTATTTTGATAGCTATGTTATATATGATTGTCAATATATAAAATATTCTTTGTAAAAATGACTTGGCAGTTCTATATATTTTAGAATTAATAACATAACAACTCGTGATACAATATCAAGCGTGGAATTGAAAATGCAAAACTATTGACATCATTATTATGAAATATTACATTAGCCTTTTGGTACCAACTTTCAGACTGTAAGGAATATTATTCTCAAATGACCTCGACCAGTAGAGCTTGAAAGTCACCGTATGACGTTTAGGGTGATGATTTGTCTTTCAAACATACCCGCGAAAAAACTGTTACTCCTATACCTTAAAAAAATTGAATATTGTTAATTAGATAACTTTGATAAAAATCATTTTTTTGTAATGATTTACACAAAATATGATAAACAAGATCAACAAGGAAAGGCGGCGTTCAATGAACGCAACAAGTTAGAAAGATAAAGGATATCAACAATGTCAAATGTACCTTCGTTTTAGTGGTCATTTCCATAGCAGTAAATTTGTTTTTACGTTGTAAATGCTTCTGTAAATGGTAATGATAGTAAGATGAATTTGTTTTGTTATAACTCATATTGAAATTTAAATAATTCTTTTCAGTTAAAGTTTACCTAAACTACTTGATTTACTCATTTATTTTGTATAAGTCTGTTATCATGTACACCACGAAACATTTCCTACTTTATGTCTACAACATAAATAATGTCTTTCCTGAAATAGTTGTTAAATTTTCAAATTTATATCATCTCAGATATACCATATCCGATATTAATTACATTGGAATTTACTCTAATACAGAACTATGGATGGTTTGAGAATTGAGTACCGCTCAAGCCGGTGCTAGGGGGCGTGAGGGCTGCTGCACTCCTTCATTATCCCTCATGGACAGACTCAATCAAACCGAGTCTGCAATTCTTATGTAATTTTGTTGTGATTAATGCTTCCGAGGGATCACTTTGTTTCCAGATTTTTATACTTCACAACAGCAGGTGTCAAGTGCTGTATGGCAGCTGTAAAAAGTTGCCCCGTACTTCACTTCAGTGTTGTTATATTTTTCTGGTCCTTCGGGATCATTGATGCCAGCGCTATTAAGTGTTGAGAATTGAGTACCGCTCAAGCCGGTGCTAGGGGGCGTTAAGGATGTTGCACTCATTCATTATCCCTCATGTACAGACTCAATCAAACCGAGTCTGCAATTCTTATGTAATTTTGTTGTGATTAATGCTTCCGAGGGATCACTTTGTTTCCAGATTTTTTTATTTGTGTAGTTCATGCGATAAAATGAATAAAAAAATGTATGTCATTTTTTTTTCATGAACATAAAAAATTATATTACTGTTCTTTATGGTTATGTTGTTTGTTTTACAGAAGATTCAGACGTCCCTGTAATTGTCATATTTGATACTTGGTAAAAATTTCTAATCAAGCAGTACACCGTTTACAAGGGTAATGTTAATGAATCGGGAACTGGAAATCTAACTTCGCTTACTCTTCTGTGAAATGTTGATATTATTCTGCTTTTTAATTTTCTTTCTGCTTTTTAATTTTCTATCAAATGTTTACTTAACTATGTGCGACAGGATAGGAAGAAAAAAATATTACCTGATTAATCTATAATTTGCTAGAGAGAACCTTTGGTTTCCTGAGACAAAGACTAAAATTAAATAACTTGTTTGTTTGTTTATTAAATGCCAAATCCATGAAAATTAAGAAATTGTTTACTGAAGAAGTTACAACTCTTAATAGAAATGTTATTAACAAACTTACATAATGCAGGAAATTTATTTTACTTGAACACTTTTATATTTTGGGCGATAATAAAAAACCATATTTAGTGCTTTATATAAAGGGCTAATATTATTCCTAAACATTAAGTGTTTTGCTTATCTACAAGTAAATTCTCGGCTTTTATTCGTTGTTTAACTCAATAGATAATATTTAAATAATTTGAAAGCTTTGGTCTTTACTATTTGTTAAACATAACCAGCATTGACGAGAATGGCAAAGTGAATTGATGTTTACTTTCTAAACATTGAGATTTATTTAGTGCTTCTGCAACTTGGTTAGTTTAAAAAACCGTTTTCTATATTTATGTTGTTTGATATTATTATTTTTACTTGAATAGTTTCTGTTGCAGTATTAAAGTCAAAATATCTGATTGATAAAAACCCAATTCGTTTTGTTGTATTATTAGTTTAAATAATTAAATTAATTATTGTTAATCATTGAACGCCGCCTTTCCTTGTTGATCTTGTTTATCATATATTGATTTTTTTTCTGTCAGACGCTCCATGTTAATGAACACTTTCTATCAAGTCAGAATTTCTCCTGATAAGATGGTTATTTGCTCAAATTGTTAGTCAAGTGTATTCCACTACATATCACTTTTTGCAACATCAAAGAAGCTAATTCATTAACGCTAGTCTAGACTTTTGGTAAAATTTCAAATTGCTTAAATGTGATTTCCTCAGACAAATGCCAAAGTTAAATCAATATGGTATCTTGAATGTCACTTGGCATTTGGAATCCTGAGGGTAACGTTTAATATTCATAGTGTATTCAAATAAGCTGCTGACAATTCTAGGCATTTGTGCAGCTTTTGACCGGGGTTTAAGGAGTATTAAAAATTAGTTATTTTAGTCAAAACAATTGTAATGAAACAGTAGCTATTTTAGCAATTGTAAAGGTTATAAAACATTGTGGTCACAATGGCAAATCAAACCTATGTCTGCTTGGAAAGTTTGGCTATCTGCTCTCTTTTTTTTATAAGTATCAATAAATTTATCAATATTTTATGCACATTTTTATTTTTGTATTCGTGTTCAAAATGTACTCTGATATAATTCAACTAAAGGCTGGATATTAAAAAATAATAGATAATATATGTCTTTGGTATATAATATGCTCAAAAATGATTTAGAAAATGCACCGAATAAAGTAAATTGGTGCTCTTTAGTAAAAGACTTATTTTGTACACTTGGTATTATGATGTATGGTTGCAACAAAATGTTGGTGATAGTAATTTATTTTTGTCTTTAGCTAAACAAGGATTACACAATATGTTCAAGCAGAATTGGCATGAAAGATTAAAGAATTCTAGTAGAGCATTGTTTTATCGAACTATTTCAAATT